GGCCTTTTTTGGACGTCGGAGCCGTTGTGCCTCATTAATGTTTGATTTCGATCTTGTGACCTCTCAGTTCGCTTGGTCGTATTCATCCGACATAGCTGGTGTCCTAACACTCAGTTCCAGCATCTTGTTATCTATCGAAGCAATTTGCTGACTGGGTCAGATCACCTAGGACCGGGGAACTCGCTAACACTCAAAACTCGTCTTGATTGGTTCAATTTTAATTCGTTTTGATTTTTTGATTCATCTTGAGTTTCAAGTGTGCAAGAATTTTCTTTTGAAATGGTACATATTTCTTTTCGTTCTATTGATGGGTGTAGAGCTTCGTGTCTTGTTATCCACCGTTTATTTTTTTTTAATATTTTTTTACCCTGGGCTAGAATGGCTGATCTCGTGCGTTTTTGAACTTCTTTTACATGTTCGTGCTGTTTGATGCACCTTGCTTATACTTACAAAACGAGAATAAAAACAAGTACAAATGCATGTAATGGTTATTTTTCTGCTGCTGAACTAAAAAAGCGCTTGAATTGTTGTTCTTGTAGGGACTTCCGCACAGACTGGAAACACTATACACAACAAAAGTTTCTTTCCGTAACCACGGAACTAACTCAGAAGATTACTCAGACTTTTACGTCATGCTGCTCTTCTTCCATGCAAAATACTTGGCAATTGTAATACTTGATGATTCCAGTTCCGTTAACCAAATCTTCGCTCTTCAAGCAGTTTTCCAAGCACTGGAAAAATTTTTTTTAGAAATAGTCGTAGCTATTGGCACCTTTCTGACCTTGAAGTATGTGTAGATAAACTTGGCTTTTGCGGGCGGACTCAGTTCGTTTTGAAATCCTTTTTCTCTTTGTCCAAGTTGTCCGGAGATGTCTACTTGCTCAGGAGCTCCCTCCACAGGAATGACTTCTGGTTCTTCAGAATTTTCTTCCTCGCAGTACACAGTCACCAAAAGTGCGAATAGCAGCAGCTTGTGAGAAAGCATTTTTGCAGATGAGTCTATGATTTTCGTATCAACAAGAAGTGTACGGCTTTTGAGGAAACTATGCGATAAAGCTAGATTAACAAGAGAAGAATGTTAGGCAACAGGTATACAGCCAAAATCACCCAGCGCTATTTTCTAATAGGTTTTCAATTTTTAGGCGGGTGAAGTTTGGGTATGCAACGCTACTTTTAGGTATACGGTATAACATGTATGGAGACCGTCAATTACAACGTAAACATACCATGATTATTCTTCGTATGTCCGCTGTAAGTTTTGTTGATCGAAACAACGGAATATCTATATCTGGGATAAGAAAGCAATGCAGCAAACAAAAGATTCTTAAAATCTCTGGGCAAAATGATATAATTAAGCTATGAATTCTTCGTAGAGGTTGAGGTTTAAATCCTTGAACTTGTATGCTCGTAGATGTACACAGGTGGGATGCAAACTGAACCATCTGCGTACTTTCTGGCAGATCTTCGTTTGTGATGTAAATGCAAGGTCATCGCTTCTAGCTAGGAGCTATGTTTTGCCTCTCGTGTTGTAATATTTGTTTGAATATTACTTAATCCACATATGCAGTGTCAAATAACATTAGATTGACTAAGACATTTCTATATAATCAGAGCGTGTGCACTCTTTTCACTTGCTCCACTAAATTGCAGTTGCTTAAATATAGTAGTCTGCGAACATCGAATGATATTCAAAGGAAAAGTTTTGTGTCTTGTTTCATATCTCTTACTGGTGAACCAGAGTCCTTGTGTTTTGCACGCCAAGGAGCGCAGCAGATTTGGGGTTGCATCTTAACTGATGCACTCTAC